GAGAAGTCCTGCTTCACAGTCGTCCTTTCCTGCCTGGCCGATGGTACAAAGTGGAAGCCCACGATCATTTTCAAGCAAAAGACCAAGCCTAAAGAAACGTTTCCGCCAGGTGTAGTTGTACATCATCCCTAGGGCTGGATGGATGCAGACGGCATGAAGCTGTGGATTCAGAAAGTCTGGAGTTTGTGACCTGGCGGTTTGCTGAGAAGAAGCCTACTTGTCTGAGACGCATTTAGGGCACCAGTGATGATGAGGAAGACTTCGACGGCTTTTAGCAAGCAGGGACTGTGCTTGCTTACAAAACGGTTCCTTTAGGAGCCACCAAATAAAACAAAAGTCAATGACCAACTGTAAAATTGTTTTAATTGTTTTTTTTAATGTTTTGCATGCAGGCGAATGCAAAATTTTCAAGTAATTGAAAGCCCAGGTAAGCAAGCCACCTGTAGCTTTAGTTTTATTTCAGTTACCAGTACTTGACCGATTTCGAGGATTGGCTACCAAGTTCCCCAACTTTGTTTATCGACTCGTTTTGGAAGAGTCTTGAGCTTCTTTGGTGTTTTGCCTGTCTTGTAAAGCCACTTCTTATCTCTTCACACTTAAAAAGGATCGTTTGAAATCATCATGTTTGATTTTGTGAGCATTTCATAAAAATTATCGTCAAAAAGCCCGCATACACACATGTTGCTAAACTGGATAAAACACTTTTTTACGTGCCATAATAAGCTTACTAAAACTTAATGTTGAAAGTTCCTGTGATTTGTTCACATATCCATAGTAGCTGAAAGAAAATTCTAAGAAATACAAAATAAGTTTTCCAGAAATTCTTACCTGGAAATTAGGAAAACCTAGTTTTTTGCCTCAAAAATTGGGGGCGACTTATACACAGGATCAACTAATACATGGGTAAATACGGTAAGCGTTTTGTCCAGCTTGTGAAAACGTTTGCATCGTTCGTTTGGTTCCTTTCGTTTCCATCGTTTGGATTGTTTGCAATGTTTCTATTGTATGTTTTGTTTTTATCGTACGTTTCTATCATTGATTTGATTTCTATTTTGAGTATCGTTTAGAACCTGGGTTTTGAACTATCTTTGGCATTGTTGTTCTTGCGTCTGTTACTTGGTGACTTGCCACTGGCACATGAATCTTGACTTCAGCTTCAATTGATGCACAGTTCAGGCACAGGCAGGCACAGTTTAGGCACAACGAATGCAAATTTTACATAACAATTTATGAATCTACCAACGTGAAGATCATTTAAAATGTTCATCAACATTGTTCAAGGATGGGTTTAGAGTTATTTCACTGAAAGCATTAG